CGTTGGCCCCAGGAGTGCGGCACATGGGTGGCGCCAGAACCGGGCATCGGCGTATGGTTGGCCCCGCCTCTTGGTGCCCGGCACATGAGTGGCCCCGCCCCCTGGCACCCGGCAGTCCCAAAAGGTTGGGGACCACTGAGTTAGACCAAAGATTAGCCTAGGCCAGAATGCTTTCTTTCAACATGGCTCCTGCCTGGTGCCCCAAAGGGAATGAACAGAACAGGTAATCATCAAGCAATCCCTTCCCTGTTGCCCATTCCCAGCTTCTGACAAACAGAAGCTAAGGACACCATCCCTAGCTACTCTGGCTAATAGCTAATGATGGACCTATCCTCCATAAATTTATCTTTTTCTTTTTTGAAACCCATTATAGTCTTAGCTTAACAATATTCACTGGCAAGAAGTTCCACAGGTTGTGAGTTGGGTGAAGAAATATTTCTTTTTCTTTGTTTTAAGCATTCTGCCTGGGGAAAGCATCTCTTCTGTTTCTTTATGGTGTATATACAGAAACTGTTCAAACTTCTCTGCCATAATTCATATATTTTCATTTTTTAAAGCCTTATAAAAACAATGCAGTTCTCTGTAATACAGATGGATGTATACTATTTAGTCTGCTGACATGTATATGTATACATGCAAGCCACAATTAGCCTCCCAACTGTTTAGCTGCTGTTCACTGAAACTTTTGCATCTTTCTTAACAAGCAGGAAAATATGATTGCAATTTGTGAATGTATCTACCTACAATAACCAAAAGATGGCAGCATTCCATTCAACCCATATTTAACTTGTCATACAATCTATACAGCTATGGAACTGCAAAATTATATAGTGCTTTGGAAACAGACCGATCACTTTTATAATCAGCCAGCACATCTATCACACATCACTTTCCCTCCTCCCCCCATCCAATTTAAAGAGAAGGGTAAGGAAACACAGCACTATAACACTGCTAACCCCAGGGTTGTGAGTTCAATCCTTGAGGAGGCCATTTAGGGATCTAGGACAAAAAATCTGTTAGGGATGGTATTTGGTCCTGCTGTGAAGACAAGGGACTAGACTCAATGACCTTTCAAGGACCCTTCCAGTTCTAGGAGACAGGCATTTCATTTTACTTCACTACTACTTTCTCACTATGACATTCTAGACCAACAGCTGTACCAGACCCCAGCTCTAATCCCTGAACTCCCTTTGTGGGGCTAGTCACAGAAAAGTACTGGTCAACATGGGAAAACCAAGACTTCATTCCAAAATGTAATTTTCAGACAAATTAACACACCAGTATACACTTTTTACATTATCCCTGTAATTTTAGCTGGTATGTAATGCCTCACTTTCTACCCTAAGGTGTAGAGCAGATTCTTCATAAACTTTGCACCTTGTAAAATCATTTACCCCAGTGCAAAGTGGATATGCCACTCTGATCTGGTACCATTTTACATGTGCTTTGGTCCTGCTATGCACAGGGTAAACGATTATCCAAAGTGAACAACAGACCTGGTGCGTGCGATGCTTTGGGATTGCTGGGGTTGAAAGCAGTTATGAGAAATGAATGGTTCAAATACAATGTGAAATCAGCCTCAGTTTGGCTGTCACCTGCCATGGCATACTTTAGTGTACACATTTTGTTTTTACTTCAGTGTGACTATCCATTAAAACTTTGTGGAGTTCTGCGGCACCTTAAAAGACTAAGGGTATATCTATACTACCACCCTAGTTCGAACTAGGGTGGTTAATGTAGGCAACCGGAGTTGCAAATGAAGCCCGGGATTTGAATTTCCCGGGCTTCATTTGCATGTTGCTGGGCGCCGCCATTTTTAAATGTCCGTTAGTGCGGACTCCGTGCCCCGCAGCTACACGCGGCATGAACTAGGTAGTTCGGACTAGGCTTCCTATTCCGAACTACCGTTACTCCTCGTCATCAGATGCATAGGGTTTTGTGACTTTAACCCACAAAAGCTTATGCCAAATAAATATGTTAGTCTTTAAGGCAGGGTGAGGAACCTTTTTTGGGTCGGGGCAAAAAAATCCACATACAAGCAAGAAGCAAAAACAAACAAAGAATCCTCACTGATATAGCATCCAAATGAGACGGAGAAAGACACTCCCTACATTCCCTTTACAAACCAGAGCCTAGGCAGGCCCAGGCTAATAGATTTTCTGTGCTCTAGTCCCATGAGTGAACAGTCTGGGGGGGGGGGGGGGGGCCTGCTGGGGGGGATCCCAGAGCCTCAGGGGCCAGATCCAGGCAAGCCCAGGGTTACATTTGGCCCCACCCCTGCCTTAAAGTGTCACATGACTTCTCATTGTATAATGTTCCCCCATGTGATCAGGAAGTTATTTTCACTTTAAAAAGTTCAAGGACAGGCTGGTGACATGTCTTCATGAGGGCTCACAATCTCCCTAACATTTGTGGAACTAAAATAGTTTGAGCCATAAATGTAGATAGAGCTAGAGAGTAACCACTACTACCACTCACCACATATTAAAAGAAACTTCAGTCTTTAAGACAAAGGTCTGGCAATGCATGTTTAAGAGCCCATCTAAATTTCTATTTAGTGTCATTGCTATAGCTAGTAGTTCAGCCTCCTCATATTTCAGCTATAGCTCTCGTCTCTCTTCTCTGTAGTCCAGTCATTTGTACATAAAAATGCCCTTTCTCACCCATTCCTGGCAAAGCCTTGATGGCAGTGAGGTCTCTGATTACTAAGAATTCATCTTACTGTGTATGTTAGAAAAGTCTGTCTGTCTGTCTGTCCATCTATCTGTGAGTCCATTTATTCAAGAGCTCCTCCTAAGCGGTAAGAGCTAGGATCGCCAAATTTGGCATGCAGCTTCCGCTTATCATAACTTAAAGCAAGGTCAGGGTTTGGTTGTGCCAAGACAATAGAATGTGCCTAGAACTCGATTGTTTCTCATAAAATGGAAAGGGAGGGGTTTGGCAGGAGGAAGTTATACTTCAGAGTGACCACAGCAAGGCAGCCAGGGGTTAGAGATGGGGACCAGGACACTATAACCCCATTTGGCTAGCAGGGGACAGGGTGGAGACAGAGAGTTTTTCTGTGTGTCTGTTTTTCTGTGTATCGGTCCCACAGCTGGGGTCATGCACTCCTCCCCCACATGTGGCACTGCAGCTGCAAATGGCCATGGAGAGGCACTTCTCACCTGTCCCTGAGCTGTCTTGGTGAGAGAAGGGTGGGGCTGTTCTCTCTCCTGGGACAGCCTGAATTCTGAATCCTTCATTCTCAGCTCTAACCCCATAGCAATGATTTAAATGAAAAAAACAAAACTTGCTTCAGTTAAAGACCTGAGCAACACTGGGTAAATCTTCTAACGATACATAATACAGTACAGTGTCTCAGATGTACAGCATGAGGAACAAGCAAAATTACCACAAGGGTTAGAGGCCTCTTTTACACCTCACCTGAAACATAGCTTTATAACAGCACTGCTCACTCAGCATCACATAGGGGTATTGGGTCAGTATTGAGTGCCTGCCAGATTTGCCCAGGTCCTAAAATGGGTGTTTAAGGTTTGTGGAGGATTCAAGTAGACCCCCACACACTTGCCCTTCTGCACTTCCTTCTACACTCAACACAAGCCAGCCACAAGTGCCATTTCTGTGGTCAGAAAAGCACATGAAGTGGTCCCAGCAAGTGCTCAAAGGGGGGGGAGGGAAAGCACCTCAGAGGTGATGGGGAGATGAAGGAGAAGGAGAGACGATGACCCTACTTCCTCTCTGCCCAAGCCTTCAGAGCTGGGAGGTGATGGATAGAGTCAATGGAAGCCATCCTTTGACATAGTTCAGTGCACAAAACAACTCATGCACACAGCAAACTGGTAGGAACTGAGCCTCCCGATGCCTAGTTCTTCCCTATGCCCTCTGCCTCTGCCCAAGGGCTATCATCAGGGCCGGTTTGAGCCATTCCTGCGCCCCGGGCAGCAAGCGTGCGACGCATGCGCGGCTCTGCCCCCAGGCGCATACCGCATGCGCAGCCCCGCCCTCCAGCGCGCTGCGCACCTTACAGCTGCAATCAGGCACACAGCACCTGATTGCAGCTCTAAGGGGCGCCACGTGGCCCGCAGCACCCCTTATAGCTTTCATCAGGCGCCTGCCATAGGTTGGCGCCCCGGGTAGCTGCCCAGCTAGCCCCACCCTTAATCCGGCCCTAGCTATCATTGAATCCCAGCATCCAGCTTTATCTTACAGGGAGCAGGCTTTTGGGCTGAAATATTGCTGTGGCTTTCAGAGCTAGGGCTCCAGACCAAATATGTTCACAACAATTTTTTCAGCGCTGGAGAGCTGAGCCCAGACAGCCTGAGTCAGTGCAGCCAGACCAGCCATTGGTTTTTTAATCCCCATGTAGACATATCCTAAGAGGAAATTGGAGAAATGAAGGTGTTAATGGAGGGTGGAAGTATAGGGAATTGATATTTTGTGGGCGGCAGGGGGAGGGTGGAGTGGAAGGGAGGGAATATTTTAGAGAGACATGTCACTGACATTACAGAAAGGAGAAATCAGCAACATCTCACTATTTCCAGCATGGCTTCTTGACCAAAGAAGTTCAGATCAGTTCTAGATACCAAACTGTATATTTGAGCCATCAATTGCAAATATTTTAAAGTATATACAGCAGGGGGAAAGGGGAGGGGGGCAGGGATAAATATTCTAAACCCAGAAGAGGAGATTGCAGACTAATCCAAATCCAAACAGAAGTAAGTTATCCAAAGTTAAATTCTTTCTATAATCCCTTTATATCATTACAAGTTTGCCTTCCTTTAAAGTTATAAAATACAAGTATCTGAGCCAGTCCTGCCAACCCTTTCTCATATGAACAGTCCTTATGTGCACAAGACGACCCATTAGTTTAATCACACTGATTTGCAGGGCTGGAGTGAGATCCTGGCCCCACTGAAGTCAGTGAAAGTTTCCCAATGATTTCAATGAGGCCAGGATTTTAATTCATGTCCTTAAACACAGCAGTATAGCTACATACTCACAATTCCACGCTGAATGGCTTGATGTCTAGTTATTGGTTCTTCCATTGTTCAAGAAGTCACATTCCTTTGCTTTTAAATTCAAAAGTGAGGAGACTGGAAAACACACCTATTTCCTCTTTGTAAGAGCTGAGTCTTTTCATAAAGTATGGGAAATATTTAATTGCACGCACAACACCTTCCCCCCCTCCCCTCCTCAAATCCAGCCTCTTCCCTCAACCACCGATGATTTGGAAACACAGCTGCAAACCGCTGCTGCCTCAGCTCTGAAAAGGCACATAGCAATGGTCTGGCTGGAGGTTCAGAAGTGAGGCATGTAGACCACAAGCTGTTCATGTGGCTCCTGCAAAGTGGATGACCAGCCACTCTTAGAACACTGTCTGTCTGACATGCCTTTGGGACTGACACACTAACTGAAAACAGCAGGGCAGGCTCTTCATTTTACTACTTGGAGTGTGTCATATCCTAATCAATAATGCTTCACTGATATGTATCAAAGAACCTCCAATCATGTAACTATACTGAGGGATTTATCAGCCTTTCTACAAAGTCTGATTTTGAAGATTTTACAACTTGGCTTATTTTTATTACCTTGAGGTGAAACCTGACCTTTACAATTTCAGGCCAGCAGCTACTTATTTCTTGCCAATATAAAATCATTGAAAACAAATTTTGACTTTTGATTTAGGCACTCGCAGAAAAAAATCAATTAAATTCATTATTTTGATGTTTTAGGTGCATTGCTCAGAACTTCCACATGAAAATTAAAAAGATGAATTGCAAGAATTTGTCTTCAAAACTTCTGTGCCAATTTTTTTCCTAAGTAATGAATCATGAATATTCTCAGGAGACACACACGCATACACACACACACACAAACACACACACACCGCACAATAAAATCACATTGGAAATATATGATTTTACTTTCATTACAAAAAAATAGGCACAGTTCTGACCCTCAGCTGTAACCACTAGAAAATACTCCCTCTTTAGTTCTTTAAAATAAATTCCATGTGGAAAAGATATAGATACTTTTTATGAAATAATTTCCCCCCCTTATTTTATCTAGGGCAGAATAATAATTTTTCTATTCATAGACTATTCCTGAGGGCCTTCTTCTAAGTAAGTCTTTTGGAAAGCAAGCTACCTACTTAAAATCACGTATATTGCCTTGCAAATGTCTTAGTCAGCCCTGAAGCTGGAGACAAAATGACACTATTTGCAAGCAATAATTTAAGAGGGAGAGAGAGTTAAGCTTTTATTTGCTTCATTCCAAGAAAAAAAAATAAAAAAACCATGATATACAGTTTTCAAATTTCTTCAGCATGATGGAACTCTTTCCAACTGTCAACCTTTCCTTTATTAACTGACAACTTTATATTGACTTATATTTCATTTTGGCATTTCCACAAACCATTTCCACTCTGTGATACACAGTAGGTAGCAGCTTAAGCTTCTTGGTATTTTTCCAGCTGTTACAGGAAAAGGTTTGATGCACAAAGGTTCTTAGTCTTTTTCAGTGAAGAAGCTACAAAGTACATTGATTCAGCCTTTTCGCACTGAACGTGTCTTCACATGTGGTTGTTGAAGGCAGGTCACATAACTTGTCAAATTGCCAAAGAATGGAGCATAAGAAAACAGCAGCCAGCTTCAAAGAGGTATACTGGCCAAGAGAGACAAGCAAAAGTTCTGCACTCATCTAGCACTGTCCAAGCAAATAACATTCTAGATTTTATGTACCTAGACCCTTCCCCTTTTTTTCAGACTGTTAAGAATAGCATAAACAATGCTAATAACAATGAATAAATCTGTTTTGTGTCAATTCCAGCCCCCTCAAATGTAGCTTCTTAGATTAATCTCTGACTGGCATGGATAATGTCATTTGTTTTCTCTGCTGTTAAATATCCAAAGCAGTAGTCTTGTCCCTGTGTTATTGATGGAAATACCTCTGTAAGCACTCTCCTCTTGGAATTTCCACTGAAAATACCACAGGATTACTGTCCAGCCTGAAAAATAGAAGTGGGTAGGAGGAATGAGATTGGTGTGTGGGGGTTATCTTCTTGCCATCATTACACAGATTTTAAGTTTTAATAGCACGCATGCTGACCACAGGGAAACCACTCATACAATGGCAAAGCATATTTGGAGCTCATGACCTAGCTTCAAATCCTCAGCGTTAAATAACTGCACCTTGTTAGGACTCCACTCACAAAAAAGGTTTACAAGCTTTTTTTCTGTATGGCAGCAAGCCTGGACATTTTTGTTTCTCATCCACCATAAACATTTGGCTCCCCAGTCACCACATCCGTGATTCATTTTCTTACAATGCCAGTGGGCACATTTTGGCAGGGAGTCTCCCATGTGCCAATAATGTGAAAATGGGGGCACAGAGGAAGTTTCCTTTTTTGACTACACAAGATGAAACCTTCTCAAACCAGAACGTGGAACAAGCAGATTGTCCCTAGCTCATATAAGAGGTGAAGAGAACAAGGAGTCTTCCTTCCTCCTGCTGGCATGCCATCCTGACACTGGGAAGAGGACAAGCATTAAGGCCATGCATATGCATAGTGCTGCAGTAGCACAGCAGTATCATCAGCATAAAAACCCACCTCTGTGAGTGTCACAAGCTATGTTGCAAGGAGATGCTCTCCCACCAATATAGAGCATAAGAGTGCTTATGTTGGTATAATTTATGTCACTTAGAATATTCACACTTCATAGTGACTAGTTTTGCTGACCAAGGGTATGGTGTAGACATAACCTAAGGGTGGACTCTGTATAAACCTGAGAGCTTGTCTCTGACCAACAGATGTTGGTTGATTCAATAAGAGATATTATCTCCTCAAGCTTCACCCAACAATATGCTGGGACTGCATACAATAACATGAAAGAAGGCATATGAGAAAGTTTGGAAAGAGAAATAAAAGGTATTTGTCCATGTAGATGGCAGAGTTAAGAAAGGAGAAGACAGATCAGTGGCAGTGGGAGTTATATGTTGGATTCAATATCTCGTGCGTGCACTACTGCAAATTCCAGAAGCAGATGAAGACAGCAATGCTTTGCACCAGTGGAATATACTAGTGCTTAGAACCAGTTCAATTTGCTACAGTTGGGATTTACACCTGTGCAGCTACACCAACTGATGAACTGAGGCTAATTCCAAGTAAAGACAAGGCCTTAGTGTGGCCCAAGACTTTCTACAGAAGACACAGCAGCAAAGGAGCAGGAGTGGAGGAAATGGATGTAAAGGAAGAATGAGGCTGTGAATTGCTGGAACAAACCTAACTGCTCACCTAACTAAGGCCAAGTCTACACTGGCTCTTTACAGCGCTGTAGCTTTCTGGCTCAGGCGTGTGAACTCCCCCTTCCCTACCACCACCATCAAGCACAGCAAGTGAAGCACCAGTATAAACAGGCTCTCAGCACTGTTAGCCACGCACCTGCCTCACAGAGGTAGTTTACAGAGAGAGCTGCCCCAGCACTTGGGTCATGGCCACACGCTGGCTACGTCTAGATTGGCATGATTTTCCGCAAATGCTTTTAACGGAAAAGTTTTTCCGTTAAAAGCATTTGCGGAAAAGAGCGTCTAGATTGGCATAGATGCTTTTCTGCAAAAGCACTTTTTGCGGAAAAGTGTCCGTGCCAATCTAGACGTGGTTTTGCGCAAGAAAGCCCCGATTGCCATTTTCACCATCGGGGCTTTTTTGTGCAAAACAGTTTTCAGCTGTCTACACTGGTCCTTTTGCACAAAAGCATTTCCAGAAAAGGGCTTTTGCCTGAACGGGAATGTCAAAGCATTTGAACAAGAAGCACTGATTTCGGACAGTAGAACGTCAGTGCTTTTGCGCAAAATCAAGCGGCCAGTGTAGACAGCTGGCAAGTCCTTCCGCAAAAGCAATTGCTTTTGCAGAAAAACTTGCCAGTCTAGATGCAGCCTTTCAGTTTAAAGCGCTGCCATGTCTGCACTTTAAGTGGCTAAGTGTAGACAAAGCCTAATACTTGTGGATGCTGGGGGAGAGGGGAAGGAGAGCAAGGAGAAGCTTTCTTTTGCCCCTTTCAATCAAAGTTTGGGGTTGTCCCAGTTGGGAATAGAAATTTCTTTGATGAAGTTTTGTTTATTCGCAAACTCCTGTGTCTCCGGCTCCAGAGTAAATCAACTGGCAGGAAACAACTTCTTTAGCTCATTTCACCAGGGGTGCTCTTTTAGTCTACACTCTAGCCCATAATATTTCCTCTCAAATTCCATCTAGGCAGGGCCAGGGCATCCAACATGCTAGGTACTAGCCACATGTGGCTATTTGGCTGGTTGAGTGTGGCTAATTGGCTTGAGTGTTGTGGCTATTTGGCTGTTGGAGTGTGGCTAGTTCACTATAAGAACTACTGCTTAAGAACTGGTTGGACACCTTAGATAGGGTCAGCCACTTTGCTTTCAGTTGCTTCCTCAGGCTGTCTCTCTCTTGTGGTCTGTTCTTATCTGAGTTCTGTCTCACACACACACTTCCAGCCAAAAGCGGCAGGGGAGGGGGAGGGAGGGGGGGAAGGCTTCATACATAGCTTTTGTCATAGGTCTCACTTATGGGGTTCTGTTAATTGTAGGGTCTGTTCATACCTACTAATCTCAACCCATAACAAAGTTTCACCCAGCTCACAACAGCTACCTTGGGTAGCTATGAGGCACCTATCTCCTCAGATAAAAGGATGAAGCAGCCTAAAAGTCCAGATCAAATGGTATTTTTCTCTCTTGATGAAGCACTGCTAACTAGCCCCATGCTCTGTCTTTCTACAGGCATTTCACAGGCCAGCTGTGAAATATCACAAACACTTGTCAAATGTTTAACAAGCCAGCCCTGGTGTGTTTATCCCTTTCAAACAGTACTCTGCTAGGGGCCAGCCTCCTGGGCAAATGTGTGGAGGGGATGTTGATGGGAGGAAAACCAGAGTGTTATAAAAATATAGACATGCTAGGCTGTGCACAAAGCCACAAGCAGGTCTCTTTAGTTCCCTGTAAGCCCTCTGATATGCAGCTGCAATTCCCAGATGGCAGAATTAGCACGTTTGGCTTTATACATTGCCTTGACTCACAAGTTCATTCTATCATCCAAGTGCAAATGCTGAATCAAACTATTTAGGAAATTAATTAATTAGAAAGTTGTAGGACTGTAAATGGTTGCCCAGGGTCATGTAAATTGCTACACTGAGAGCTAATGAAAAGGATTTATGCTGGATAGTCCTGCTGTGGCCTTGTTTCAGACCAGCAATTATTATAGCACAGACACAATGGAAAGCTTGTTTCACTAGATGGCCAACATACAAACACATAAATATTTGGCCTTAGCTGTGTGATAACCAAAGACATCAGATTTTATTTTTCAGACAATAAATTATAAACTGCCTGCCATCTCAATAATTCCTATCTTTAACCCTGAAATCTTCATTTTCCAAGCTACTTTAAAGCTGCCTACAGAAACTTCATGTTACCTTTATTGTCAGTGATTTTAGACAGAAGTTAAGGGCAGCAGATCAGCCAGGGCCCTGTGATAGGTTATTGGCCTCTTAGAATTGAGTAGATGGTTTCAATCAAGTTCTTAGCTGATACATATCCAGTCTACTCTGCCAAAACTAAGGTTATATGGAGATAATCCCTCCATTGAAAGAGCAATGTAAGACATGGCAGAATGGTTGATCAAATAATAATGAAAGGGCATATTCTATTCCATTTTGCATATATCATAGAATCATAGAATACTATGACTGGAAGGGACCTCGAGAGGTCATCTAGTCCAGTCTCCTACCCCCATGGCAGGACCAAATACTGTCTAGACCATCCCTGATAGATATTTATCGAACCTACTCTTAAATATCTCCAGAGATGGGGATTCCA